CCTTTCAAACATTTTTAAAGTGAGCTGTATCACACCTGTCTGTGCTCGGATGCTTTCAGCTTTTCTTGCATCTGGTGCCAAGAGCAGGGCAGACCCCTTTGTGGCAGAGGTGGGGTACACTGCAGAGAAATGCTGCCCTGCCAGCAAGAGCTATGACAGCCCACGGCAGAAACTAGCAAGCCACTTAAAACACTAACAGCACCAAAAGGCTAATGAAAATGCTGACGCCCTCCTCCTATACTGACTATTCATAATAAGCATCAAATGCATTTGTATATGATCTTATTCACATGTAATACTTTTATAGCATGCAAAACATGTTTTGCACTAGTGCAATGCAAGGCTGGTGATTTTCTATTTTTTAAGGGAAAAAACACTGTCTAAATACTTCTTTGTGTGTTCTCAGTACAGCAAACTAACAAAATGCCATTTACAAGCAGAAAGCTGCTACAACACTTCCCTGTCTGGCCCACTTCAACAGGTTTGGAAGAAACGAAATATAATTTATTATAGCCTATTTAGCTCTGCAACAATTGCCCTTCAAAACCCAAAGGAGAACAATGTAATTGAATGAACATGCCTTCTTCCCTGCAGAAACCTCAAACACCCTCAGGCAAGAGCTAATACAGATGTAGTACAAGGCATTAAAAGAGTGCTGGATGCTGTAGCTAGCAATTATCCTGGTATTTAACCAAATCTATCGCTCATCAGGAAAGCATTTAGTGCAGTAGTCGGAGCGAGACAGGCTGACACGGAGCACAGCTACTTAACTGTCCCCTCCAGCGATTACACTTTCTCAACCTGAGAGTCATGTCAAATTAAACAACTACACATTGACTTTTCACTTCTGCAAACATTAAGGTATGATTGACAACTCCTGGATGCTGCAAGACAGTCATTATAATCAGCCAACATACTGTCAGCTTATTTGTGGTGTGGGTTTTTTTCCCACTGTTCTGAGCAATTTCCTCCTGGACTGTTTTTACAGTGCTCTATAGGTATGTTTGCTTGGACTCCTTGCATGGTCACCACAACAAAATGCCACCCCTCTACACCCAAAGACCTTGGTACATGTGTGGGAAAGCAATGTAAAATTAAGGGATTTAACTTAGCATTGCCATACAACCCCTTTTTTTTTTTTTTTTCTTCCCCTCTTAGTCTTGGCCAGGACTTGCCCATCTAACTAAAACTTGGGAGATGCTTGGATACCAACAACTGGATGCTAGCACTGCACTAAATACTGTTAATGTGGCACCTTCCTGGAGTATTTTTCCCAATTCTTGCCCTGACTCCTGGAATTCTCTTTCAATCTACATATGGCAGCCACTGCAAGAGGAAGAAGTCACCTGCAAAAATGGGAAATTAAATGACAAGCTCTACGATACCATTCCGAGTACATATCTGTGAAGACCTCAAGCTTCCTAAGGCTATTACAGCGCCCCTATGCCAAGGCACCACTAACTACATATATCTGAAGAGTGCAGCTTAGTAAAGTTACTAGAAACCAAACAGGTACATAAAGCAGTCAAGGTTGTGAAGAAATACATCCCTTTGATTTTATATGCAACATTCTGGCGCCTGAAACCACTACATTATAAGTGACAGCTTTACTCTCCACCCCTCTAATTCAAGCCACGAGAGTAACATAAAAGCTGTCCAAACTTTCCCCTCTCAAAATAAAAGGAGAAAGTAAAAAAAAAAAATTCATAAATAATGCTCAATACTTCTACCCTCTCACCCCCACACCCCCCCTAAGAAATCTCACTGGATCCTTCAAAGCCTCTGGTAAAGAAGCAGGTGAGATTAATACCGTATCATTAAGATAATTATGAATACAAACAAGTCTAGAATGCTATTGGTATGCCTGGAAGCCTCTGTATTTACATGATGAGTGGATCTGAAGCTTCACCTTCATACTGCCTGCAGCAGACTGAAAGGTAAACTTTACAGTGTCAGGTTTTTTTAGAAAGACATAATAAATCAACTAAATCAGTAACAATAATCACATTGTGGAAACTGTTCTGAGCTAGAAAAGTATGATTTTACTGCAGGACTAGCACTCAAAGCAAAAAAACCTACAGCAGCTGAAAACAGCTGAGGAGGACAAATGAAGAATAGTTATCTCTCCTCTCTCGTAGTGCCAACTGCAGTCCCACTCCTTTTTCCACTTCTGAACTATATTTCATACCCCAGTACGGGTCTCAAAAATCTAACATTAAATACTAACAGTATTAATTATCCCATATCTCTCTCTGGCTGAAAAGCCAGGCAATAATAAAACCAAAAGACTTTGGTGAAGAGTCCAGGACATGCCAGCTCTGTTTCAAACATGGAGGACAAAGCAGTCACAGCACTAAAGACAGTGAAATATAACTTGATTTCTAGGTTTTGCACCATAGCACTGAAATAACATCATCACAGGAAGCACGTAAAAACTTTGCTGTCTATCTCCAACCTTTTCTTTAATTTCTTTTTTTAATCAGTTAACTGCCACCAAAGTACCTAACTTTCACTAGAGCAAGTTACTGTCCTTGTCTGTAGGCCAACCAACACAGCATGCTTTCTACTTCATGGGGCTATTACTGTTTAATTCCAGGGATATTTCACAGACTACCACATCTCCAAGACAGCAGATTTATCTCCAAAGACTCACCCTCAGTTTACTCAGGCAAAAAATGCCCTGGTTATATGTTGCACTGACTTCCTACTTACATAATTGGGTAAAGGCACCTGCTATTTTGTCTTATTCTCAATGTCCACACTACAGTTGAAGGGATTGAAACAAGCAGGGAGAACATCTGTCATTCCAGCACACAGCCAGATGCACCTGTAACTTTTGTAGTTTCTGTATTTTAAGGTTTCAGGGTAAATGTCCTCCACATCTTCTGCTCAAGAGTTGCATCTCCAAGCTCTGGGAGACATTCACAGACAAAAAACCAAAACAAAAAAGAAAGACACCACCCAACCCAAAACCCAGCAATGGGCCTTAGCTCTGTTTTGGTGGTTTCCAGCCAGATGCATCATCTCTACATCTGACAAGCAACCTCCTCCAGCCGAGCAGCTCTGCCTCGCCAGAGCTCGGCTGCCCTCAGGGTGCGCCTGCATGCAGCCCCCTTCTCCCAAAGGCAGCACACTGGCTCACCTCACACGGGCTTTGCTACTCAGAAATTCAACATCAGCATCTGCTACCACAACCCTAAAAAAAACACAAACCCGCACCAATTAACCTACACCAAAAATCCCTTCGGAAAATTCCCACCCTATATTTTTAACCATGAAACTGTCATACTCAAAGAACTGTCTTTTCAAAGGTATTTTTTGAAAATAAAAGGCTACTTTGTTGAAAAGTTAAAGCTAAAATGCCGCACTTAAACAAAACACTGAAATACTTTTAAGAAAAAGCATAAAAATAAGACAAGGTCCCATCTGAGAAATCCGTATTTGACCATACACAGTGTATATAGAAAGTGCGCATAGCATGTGTGTATCCATATATCCATGTATATATATCTCTCTATCGATATAGGCACCCACACACAAGTACAGGTATGTGTAGATTATATATATTATATATATAAAGCTAACTTTCAGTCCTCAGAAAACAAAAGCTATCCCCATATAACAGCCAAATTCCTACATAACTCAATTTCGACATCTCATCTGGTGTGAACTGCACTCATTCCTAGTGTAAACCCCAGCGCGCTCTGCAATGATATACTGTAATGTCACATCGCAATCTGGATTTACTATAAAGGGCTGCTGACGAGTTTCAGAGCAGTAAACATTGCTGCGAGGTGTATTTCACACTGAGCTGGTTTTTATGAAGAACACTTCACTGCCCAGCCACGGCACCCAGATGATGAATGGTGAAAGATGCATGACAAGCTTCATCATTGTTTGTAAATCTTAACTGTTCCTGCTCACTAACTCTGCAGGCAATTTTCAAAGACAGCGGCCGACAGAAGGACAGCACAGCTTTCCTGAAGGTTATTCAACTTGTACTTGGCCTAAGCCATGCCTGTGAGGAGCACTGGAAATAAACTCATCGGTTACACTGAGGCATAGAATTAAAAGCATTTGACAGGCAGGCATGCTAATGGTTGGTAAATTAAGAAAGCCCATTAAGTAGCCTTGGTTTCCGCCCCCCGCCCTGCCCCACATGGTTACATACATCATACGCAGGCAACATACCCTGGTATTATTTACACACGCAATGCAAATATGCATATTTATAAAAGGGGCAGAATGAATGATGGGCTGTCTGCTCACGCAACACGGTTCCACTGTTATCTCGTGCAGTTACACGCCGTCCTCCAGCTCCTTCACCCACTGCTTGCAGGAAAGCCACTTCTCTGGTGTCAGAAGTTTACCCTTAGCAACAGGGCGGAATGCACAGAGCTCGGGGAAACTACTCCCGGCGTGCAAGCAGGGCTGCGGGGAGAGATGCTGCCCTTCTTTGCCTCCCCGAGACCATTCTGGTGCAGGAGCAGCGCCGTGGGCTGCAACCCCCTCCTGCAAAGAGCCACAACCCGGCCCATCGCCTCCCTGCTCCAGGCAAAGCCAATCCACACCGCCCCACGCTGGGCAGCCCTACAAATCCTGCCTTCTCACTCTCTTCTCTCTTCCTTAGAGATCTGTAGCAAAACCTTCTTTCGCTAGAGTTTCTCAAAGGGAATTCCTAACAGGAATGTCTCCATCAGAAGAGGCTGCAGAAGCACCGGCTCCGCCGGAGGCTCTCACCTGAGCTGCAAAGCTGGCATGACCTACGAGATGCTCTACACAGACCCTCACGCACAGAACGTGCTGAGGACGGAGAGAGTTCTCTCTTCTCGTAACCAGTCAGGCTACACGGATGGAACTGCACGTTAAAGCAAAGCAAGGAGGGGAGCAGTGCCACTGTTTGCTACAAATCACGCCGAGGTATGCACACTGTTATCACCATTGTCTTGACAAGATGCCTGACAAGACCTTATCAATGACTATAAGTACCTAAAGGGTGGTTTGAAGGAGGAGGGAGCCAGACTCTTTTCAGTGGTTCCCAGTGAGAGGACGAGGGGCAACGGGCACAAGTTGGAACATAAGAGGTTCCACTCAAATATGAGGAAAAACTTCTTCACAGTGAGGGTGACAGAGCCCTGGAACAGGCTGCTCAGGGAGGTCGTAGAGTCCCCTTCTTTGGAGATTTTCAAGACCCACCTGGATGCAGTCCTGAGTAACATGCTCTGACAAGCTCTAGGCAATCCTGCTTCAGCAGGGGAGTTGGACTAGATGATCTCTATGGTCCCTTCCAACTCTAAAAATTCAGTGAAATTCAGTTTGTTTTACCACTTTATGATACAATTTGTTCTACTATTTCTACCAATTTCTGTTTGCAGTGGGAAAAAGTTTTGCATCTAGAGGTAGTAACATCAGTGTGTAGAACCAACACTGGGTGTAAAAGGAAGCAGCTCAACTGATGGTGTGGATTTGTTCATTTAGGTACCCAACACCCTTCGAAGCATGAGGAAAAAACCCACGCATTCTTACCAGCTGAAGTAACATCACAAAGAGCCCCACACAAAGAGCAGCTTAAACGAGCAGAAAATAAGTCCAGGTTGCAGTGGGTATAAACCACTGGTCTCTGACACGTGGCTCTAAAACACTCCTAACTGCAAGAGCAACTGAGAAGAAACCTCCTTCTGTAACAAAAGGTGAAGAGGGAAGGTGTCCAGGGAACGCAATCAAACACAGCCATTACTTTTCCCAGGACAGCACCGGCAGGTGATGGTGATGCCTGGTGTGGGACCCAGCACCACCACGTGCATCCAGGTGGCATCCCTCACCATGGGCCCTGCTCTCTGCTGTACTCTCAGACAGGGCCAGCAAGAGTGAAGGGTGTGCGTCAAAACCCATCATCTACAGACCGGGGTTGATGGGACACCAGGAACTTCGTTTCATAGAAAAAAAACCCAAAACTTAAGAAAAGTAGAGATTTTGGCTGTAGGCTTAAATTTATTGTCTTGGATCTGCACCTGCCATGGCCCACTGTATTGCTGATCTGATTTTCCTCAGAATAGAAGGAGATTCCTTAAACCCCTGTTTTACCAAACTAATGCCCGCAAGCCTGAAACACAGGCTTGAACTTTAAAAACACTGCACCCCTTTAATCCACACAAAATCCTATAGCGTGGATAAACGCATGCCAGGATAGAAACCTTTTTTCCAGTGCCCAACAACTGTCCAGGCTGACCCTCTGGGTGGACGTGGTTTTGCTGGTAGGGGCAGATGGAGTCCCACCAGCCTCTCCCAAGGCTTCAGGCTGTGTCCCTCTCTCTTGCTAGGGCACTGACAAATGAAAGCATTCACAAGCAGTTTTCACAATAGTTTACCATTCCTCCTAGAGGAGGAACACCTCTGCTTCTACCAAATCAAGCTTGGGGGGAAACCAGCAAAAATAAAGCTTTCTCAGCTCCTGCGGCAGGACCAGCAGTTTCCCCCAGAGCAAACAGCAAGGGCTCATCAGCTGCCCTGGCATCAATCAGCATAACTCATGAATCAAACCCATAATTCTGCAATTGTCCAATGACAACTTGCTTTGCTGCACCTATTATTTTATTCCCGTGTGCTTCGGAGCAAGTGTAACATAAAGGTTGCATTTGGAGAAGAAACTATGAAAAAAACCCCTTTTAATCAGGAATAAACTGAAGCAAAATGGGACATAAACAAGTGCTTACATTCATTTCTCTTCAGGAATTCCCTTCTCTATCAATCAGACCATATAAATTTGTTTTAATATTGGTCAAATTGTCACCAATCCAACCTCATTTAGAACACAGACCAGTAATTTACAAAAAGGCTTCAACACACAGAAAAATGAGTTAGTTACCAGAGCTTATATTGAATATGTCTCACATTCTCAAATGTATTTCGTTAGCTGCTGCTACAGCTAATGAAATGATGAAGTCTGAGTAAGAATGTCACAAATAAGGGTTATCAACTTGCTTGGAGATAAAAAAATCTCCAAACCCAATAGCTGTCTAGTCAGCTAAGCCCAAAATTCAACTTTTTGTTGAAAATGAAAATGGCATGTTAAAAGGACACCTGCCTAAAAAGATCTGTAAAAAGTTGCAGTGCACAAACACAACTGGCAGTGGAAACCAAGGCCTGGAAAAACACCATTTAAAATCTGCTCACTGTCCTCGTAATGAGTGCCTAAGGGACACCGCACACAGCACAGCCATTGGGGACTGCAAGTAGCAGCAATGAGAATGGACAAAAAAAGATAAAAGAGTTATGCGAAGATCAAATGACCCATTTGAAGTGACTGTTCAGTATTTACAGATTTAGATGATTATCCCTTCCTTTCTTCTTTTGACTTATTTCAAAATTTACTAGTGAAAGTTTTATGTAAGAGGGACAGTGGAAAATACCATCTGGAGTTTCAGCAAAAACTGCTTGCTCCTTCATCACTAAGGATAGCATGCACTTGAACAAAGGTCACTTTTTAAGCAGAAGATGCACAGATAGACACACACACACACAAAAAACACGTAAGCTAAATACTGCTGAACCAGTTCTAGCAGTTCTAGGAGTAAAACTGTATGCTCCCCACACATGCTGCTGCTGCTGAAACCCCTCCAAATTCAGGACACATTTCTGCTGGTGCTCTACTGAAGAGGTGCATAAAAAAGGAGTAGAAGTGACACCTCTCAGGCTTGGCAACCCTCAGACCCTGAAGGACTGCAACGGCAACTTTTCAGCTTACACTGATGGAGGAAAACCTGGGCTATTTTCTGCTGTTGTACCTCACTTCTCTAAAAAGTGCTTTATTAGCATGGCTCTGCCAGTGCATCTTGTCAGCTGGCTGCCAATAAAGAGCAGATATATACAAGGCTTTTTTTCTGCTCTTTGGGGTAATTTCTCAGCCATACCAAACCAGCCTGTGCTGCTGCAGTGCCATCTGTGTGGCTTGAATGCTTGCAGAAAGCAGTTCAGGTTTGAGGACATGGTCTCAAAGACCTTTTGCACACCAGGACTCCTTGACCTCTCTGATCCTACAGCCAGGTGCCACCTGTGGCTCTGGAGGGTTACTCTTACCTCGCGTGGCATTTCAAGGGCACAGGTCTATGCAAAAATATCGTATGTAGGAATCCTCAAAAAAGGAGCGTAACTTTGGTGCACAGTAACCTGGTCTGCAAGAAACATTCAACCTCTGGCACGTGTTTCCATCGCACACAGCATTCCTCGCATTCCAGCGATGCTTTTACCAAAAATGATACTTTTTGTCTTAAGCCGGGAGACTGTTTCCAACACGTCCTTGACTGTGAAACCACTGGAAGGGGCTCTTTACAGAGCTGCTCCAGTTTGGGAGGGCTTCTCCAGTGGCTCAGCACTGCATACAGCATCCAAGCAGAGAGACACAAGGAAAAGCCTGTGCTGTCCCAATTTCCAGAGCTGCAAAACTGGGGATACCAGTTATTTAACTTCTAGAGAGAACTGTGAAAAATTGTTTTGAAAGTGTTAGAAACTGTTCTGCTGACAAAAGAATCTGTTACAAGAAATGCTCTCCTTCATAAAATGGTGTTTACCGATTTACACAAAACTATTGACCTTTTCTGCATTAAAATGAACTAAACAGTAAGAAAATTATCAAAATTACCGGGTTTTCTTATTTGTGTTTGGGAAGAGTTTCAGGCTGCTGCTTTATGTTCAAGCTACAAATACATCACTGCTCCAGTGCTTCATTACTTGTGTTTCCAACTATCCTGACACTTAATAAAACAAAAATTCAAACCCATTCAGCAGGTACAGCAGCATTCTAAATGTAAACCATCTCCTTCACCATGGGCACAGAATAATTATCTCAATATTTCACATAATAATGACAAAGAGGAGATTTTATTTCATGCCAACTTGAAGAAAAGGTATCTACTTTAGAATCAAAGGTGTCTGCAAATACAGGCATGTTTCTCCTTTGCATCTTTCTATTTGAATGTTAAATTTTTCTGCCACTGTCCCAAACTTGGAAAACACTCCCACACAGACAAGCAAATGCTCAGCTTTTACTCAGTGGACACAGGGCCCAGAGCGAGGCATCCAGTCCTCACCCAAGCATGTGTCCTCCTGCTCTCTCAAACCAAGGTCTTGTGCAGGTATTTCAGAGATCTAAGTGTAGGAGGGTCTGATTCAAATCCAGTGGAAGATGCTATCCAGTTCTGGGCAGTGATCCAATCCTGAAAAAGACCCATGAAGAAAGGAAAAAAAAAAAGTGCAACTGTTCTAACTGTCCTGCAGAAATCAGCAGGAATAAGGCACTTAGCTTTTGGAGAAGAAATACCCTGTTGTCACCCATTCTAATTCCTCTACTTCTTGCACAAGGATCTCTCTTATCTTGGTTTCTTCCAAAAGAAAGACATGTTTTAAGTATGCTTTGCATGCACAGGGATTGATAACAACCCCTCACACACTCATACATCTTTTCCTCTCATCGCTCTTGCAGAAAAAGCAGAGGGAAAATATTTTGAAAGTACAAGAGTACAAAATCCCTTTCCTACCTAGAAATAACTACCTAAAACTCACAACCTGGTGATTTAAGAGAGCCCTCTGAAAAATATCCTTTTGCCATTTGTCACTGGTTTATCTTCTTTTTCTCCCCATTTCTTCCAGTTTCAGCTGGAAGGGCAGCAGCTGTGCTTAGCTGGAAGCAAAACCATTTTACTTAGAACCGCTTCAAATTGCAAGGAGGTTGACTGATGGTGTTTTGCCACTCAGAAAATGTCAGCCCATTACTATATGCAACACACTGTAACGTGGTATGGCCTCATGTACAAATGTCAGAAGCTTCCTGAGAACTTGGCATCATTCATAAAAACAATGAAAGTGTAAATCAGTGGTCTGCTGGCTCATCTCTCCTCCCTTTCAATATAGCTGGTCTAAACAGGCAGTTAACTTAGCAGAACACAAGTAATGAAATAATAGTCTGACTGAAATACTAACTGAGATAATGCATGAACTGGCAAAATTTCCATAAAGCTGAAGTTACAACTGAGTTGTGGGTAACATACTGCATGTGTTGTGAGGGCATCTCAGATTTGTGCTTGGGAATTTAATAATCATTTTTGTTAAAGATATGTGTTTCCAACGTTTTGAACATTTGGCTGCAAAATGAGTTTAGTATTTTGACCTATTGCTCCTCTATACGCACTGTTACCTTCCTGTAAAATTTCTGGATTAACAATACATAAGTCTTCACTCACAGATCTTGAAAAATTAGTGACAGGCTTGCTGCAGGAGTTACTAGGTGAAGTTTTGCAGGCTGCATTATACAGCAAGTAAGATGAGATGATTCTAATGTTCCCTTTTGGACCTAAAATCTATGAACACGTATCCTTAGAAAGAAAACAATCTCTGAGCATGGTTACCATCTCAACCACAGAAAAGGAAGGAGTAAAATATGATTTGTTTATTTAAAGCATGCACTAGACTTGTCTTTACCAAGTGGCAACTGCTGGCCCTGCAGAAACATGTCCCCAGGCTTCACACGAAGCAGTCAGGGAGTGTACAGAAAGTTCAGCCCAGCAAGCAATGGAGAAACGCAGAAGAACATGTCTTTTGTATGACACAGCAATTGCAGCATGGGCAGTCAGTACTCTGGGGGAACAGACCACCCTCTTTAATACACAGGATCCACCACCCGCAGCCTGCTGGCTGACTCAGCACTCACACAGATGACAATAAAGATGCAAACAACCTCAAACTCTTTGAGGACTGTGAAAAGCACCAGAAGAAAAACGTCATGGGAGTGTAAATCATTGACTAACAGCCTGGGAATATTATGTTGTCTGTAAAAAGTAAAAGCAGTCATCTCTTCCAAGAACACACATAATGAAAAAGAAGATGCTTCTAAAAAGCCCATTAAATGGGTATGGTCCTGCTCCCATGTTCAAGTTTCTCACAAGAATATTGGTGCCTCTTTCACCCACTACCCCCCTGCTATGGAAAAACACTTCTTCAGAGTCTGGAAAATGCTGTTTGATCTCAGTAAATTACATCTCACTGCTTGTCGGTTTCTGATTGATGGTGTAACTTAGGGAACAATATCTGTGTGTGGAACACTGTCTGGAGAAGCAGTCAGGGATTATTGAAAATACAGTATTTATGCAGTTTAAAAATCAGTGGCACATTACGCACAACTTTTTTCTAGAGTGATGAAAAATTACTGAAGTGCATTTGGGACCAAAGGGTATAAGGTCTTTTGTCTATTTGTAAGAACACTCAACTGGTAAGACTTCTTAGTGAGTTAGTAGTGATGGATGCAAGAAAAAGTGTCAACTGCAGCTGAGCATAAAGCCAACTGCTTCTCTGACCAATGACCAGAAAGGAAGGCGTCACTGTTCAGTGGTGGTCAGAAAAGAGGGAAGAAAATAAAACTAAAGAAAAGAGCAGGAAAATGAGCCAAGGACCACTAATTTCTCTAAGCCATTTAAAACTACTGGAGAAGGAGGAAAAGTCTAAGGTTTCATGATACCACATGTTGTTTCTTCATTTATCTGATACGTCACAATTAATTGGAAGTCTTTCAGAAAAGAGCCACTCTGAAAGAGCAGCCACCTCCTCAGCATAAATCATCCTGGAGTTACTGAACTCAAGAGCTCAGCGCTGATTTACACCAGCCGCAGGTATGACTTTATACACACCTCACCTTCCAAAACTTCTTTTGAGTCCTTAAGGTCCTCTCATGACACAACCATAATATTTGTCACCACAATACAAATGCAACAGACACCAGCCACAGAAAGGCCATGACTGAAAACAATTATGGAACCTACACAACATACATACTTCCACCAGATATGAAGAGGAGGTTAGAAGATTAATCTCAATGTATAAGTGCATCAGAGAAGCAAATAAGGATGGGTGCTGTTGCCAGTGGTGTGACTGTGCAAAAATAATAATAAAACACACAAACATTTGGCAGGTGTAAAGTAAATTAAAAGAAATACTTCCTACAGACCATACGAAATTAAACTGCCAAATTCATTCACTGCTACAGAGAAACAAAATGAGTGAAAAGCTTCTGGAAGGGTTAGTTCAATTCATGGAGTGCACCTCTGCCACCGGTAACTGAAAAGATGGTTCAGGGGCAATCAACAGCCAAGGACATGAATGCTATAGGAGTGTGAGGATTTGGGACATACAAAGCAGGATCACCCTACTCTTTCTCTATTTCTCCTCCTGTTTTTCTAGCATCAGTTGCTGTCCCGTTCCAGGGACAGGGAAGCAGCTCAACGGAGTTGGTCTACTCCAGCAGGGCCATGTTAACACCTGTGTGTGCACCCTACCAGAGCAGGGGAGCAAGGGAGTGAGAGAAACATTATCAAAACCACAGGGTAAATTCACCAACACCTTCCTGGAAATAACTGCAGATTATAGTAGTCTTTAGGAGAGCCAAGAAACATCAGATATGAAAATAAAAACTTATCCGCAGTATATTTAAATGAAGTAACACAATGTGGTGACTCTGAAGGCAGACAAGGAAGCAAGTCTGCAAAGGGCTTTACGACATGTTTGGAATGGAGGAATAGTTCCCACGTGGTTCAGAAAGAAGACAACAGCTTCGGCTCAGTGGGAGGCTTGTGGAAAATATCATGGACAGTATTTCTGAGATCGAAAAACAGGAAAGAGAATTCTGTGGCTAGGGCAAAGACAATGTTTATTCCTGTGAGGGAGCCATTTGGTGAGCACTGAAGATGACACCTCAAGTGACTCTTTGTACAACTTAAGAGACACACATTGGAACAGAAAGGTATGACTAACTGTGCTCCTGAACCATGAGACTTCTGAAATACAAGCTTGCACTACTGTACTACAGCTCTACACTGCCACCCCACTACAAGCCTTCCAGAAAACATCCACCATAGAATCATATAGAATCATAGAATAGTTTGGGTTGGAAGGGACCTGAAAGATCATCTTATTCCAACCCCCCTGACACTAGACCATCTTATAAACACCTACTTTCTGATGCCTAGCTTCCTTCCCAGCAGCAACCCACACCTCCTGGGTGCCTGCCCCAAGGCGAGGTGGTCCCAGACACCCCGGTGGGTGCACTTACCTCTTGCTTTCGACTCCGAGTAGGAGGGGATGTCCTCAGAGGTCAGGATTTGGGGGAGGCAGGTGGGAGCGCCAACCCCCTGCCCCAGGTAGGAAGCCGGTGGGTAGTAGGAACACATGCGGTACTGAGAGCTGACGGCGTGGCGGCTCTCCATGCCCTTCACCTGTTGGAGAGAGAATCACTGAATGATACGGGGTTGGAAAGGACCGCTGGAGATCATCTAGTCCAACTCCCCCGCAAGAGCAGCTCCGCCTACAGCAGGTTGCACAGGAACGTGTCCAGGCGGGTTTTGGGTGTCTCCCAGAGACGGAGACTCTACCACCTCCCTGGGCAGCCTGTTCCAGGGCTCTGCTGCCCAAGTGCAGGAGCAGGCTGTGAAAGCTGAACCCTGGCTGCAGCCTGCTGCCCCATAGGCACATGGCTTTGAAGGAGCTCATGGTGGGGTGGGTGGAAAGTACACTCCTGACAGGCTGGTGCTGGGTTTTTGCTTTGGGTGGCTCCTGGCATGCCCGCATCGGGCATGGGGTGCCACCTAGCAGCAGCACCTGCATCCCTATGGCTGGTCTGTTGTACCCCAGGTGAAGCTGGGTCTGGCACACAACCACATACCCTTCACTGCCAGGAGATTCCTGGTGAGGCCCCTGCTTATGGCACAGGTAACACCACGGCAAGCTTTCCAGACCCCTTCAATTGCAGGCACTTGGCCAACATCCATCCAGTCCCCACACTTCCCCAGAGACTAACACATCTCCCACCAGTGGTAACTGCTCTGCCAGGGACCTAACAGGGTGGTTAAGGAGGACAGTCCTACTGACCCAACTTGGTTAGGACACGCTCCTCGGTGTCTGAGCAGTGACACATGCACACAAACACATCACTTTTCCTACAACCCAGGGAGATAGAAAAACATTTTCCTGATTTACCCAGAGAAACCAAGTTGTAGGCACACTACACCAGAAGCCTGTAGTGGAGCCACAGCTGGAAACCAGCCAGCAGGTATGCTCCATCAGTGTGGTGTCCACCAGACAACTACAAACCTGGCAGCACTCAGAAATCAAAGTTTAACCTACTCCAATGCCCTGAAATCATCCAAACTTATCTCCTCAGAGAGGCCACAATGCTTCTTTAAATTTTTGTTTTACAGAAGAACTACCATCTACTATTATTTGATCCAAAGGCCTACAACATAATGTGGCTACAGTGTCCCCAAAAAAGGCAGCCAAACACTTCACAAGATTAGGATTTTCAACAGGAGAGGTAAGACTAGCTGGTCCCCCTAAGGCTGCTGAGCAGTGAGTGATTGTAAGATGGAAAGCTTCCGAGCAGGGAAGTTTTGTACCAGGTATTAAAGGCATCAGTGCCATCAGTAACGCACATCCCCAGCTATGCCAGTAGACATCGTGCCCACAAGAAGAGCCCCACAGCCTTTTCAGCCCCACCTCACTTCAGTTAGAGGAGCTCTACCTGCTCCATTGCAGTCCTCTCGGGTCCTAGGCAGACATGCACGGAGCCCTGCTCCTCAACCCTTCCCAGCCTGTGATGCTCAGACCTGGGGAGCAGAGGAGGCAGGGGGTGAACCTGCTATCCCAGACAGCTGCCCCACACCAGCAGACCCTCAGCATCTGGTCCTGGCAGAAGGAGCCACTGGCACCTCCCTGCAAAGCAGCCAGAATGCTCTCTGTTTCCCAGGAGTACCCCCTTAATAATTCAATATTCTTTTTTAGTATGATGCCCAGCTGGACATAAGGTGGCCCAAGTGACATCAAATCCTGCTGGTGCTCTCTGAGGCAGAGGGCAACATCCCACTTTCCAGGTGGAGCCAGGTTTGCAGAGAGATTCAATGCCAACAGCGAGCAAAGTGCATCTCTGCCCATCTTCCGACGGCAGCGTGGCCACACGTATTTGCACATGTACTGAGGGATCAGCAGGACAGGCTTTTAGCCTGCAAAACTAGGAGTTCTTACTTGAAAAGGTAATTTTTCTACCATCTGCACCCTATGCATGCAGAAAAAGGCCAACAGGCACCGAAGTTTCATCCATGATAAATAGTAAATTGCTCTTAAAAAACCCGAATGTGTCATCCCAAGGGATCCTGAACTCCAAAGAGACACTGGTGTCTCCTCTGCTGTTCTGAAAGAGGGCAGTCTCCTCCTAGAAACAGACATCTGTGCTTTGCACAGAGCCCCTCAACAAAACCCAGGCTGCCTCTGCCCTGAAATTTCGGATTTGCAATACAAACTGCCCAAAAGCTCAGCCCGAAGGCCATGCTGAATCTGCACATCCGCAAGGCTTAGCAGCTCCAGAAGTACTGAGGAAAAAGGAGTTAGCAAACTCCCCTCTGCCTACTGTTTTACACCCACCATCTTCCTTCCACTGGCAGGGCAGTACCCGCGGTCCTCACATCTCCACCTCTCCCTTGTGCAAGTGCACTCGTGCAACCAAGGAAAGGTCTTCTGTGGCAGACAGCATTATGTCAGCTGTAACAAAATGGAGGGATCGCTTCCTGGCACTGAAACGATCACGTGCATGTTTCCTCTCCATATAGAGTGACCTGTTTCCTTTCAAACCCCTTTTTAGGGTTTTTCTCCATTTCTTAAAAAAACAACCCACCTAAAATCCCTGGATGCAATGAATTATGACTACTATTATTATTAGTGTGTGGTAGCTGGCTAGCAAGAGACATGTTTTATAATCTTATTACCCATACCAAGTCTATGAACCACAGTTCGACCGACAGCCAAAGCCTTGGCTCTGCAAAGAATATGCTGTGTATTAACTGCTGAAGAAAATCTAAAAGCTTTTGGTTTTGTTTTATTAAACAGTTTAGAATACACACTGCAGTAAATTTGAACCATAAGGTTTCCTTTTTATAGTGCTTAGCAATCCTATTTTACAGTAACAATAAAAAAACAACCAGTTGTAAAAATTCTTGACCTTAGCACTGCATTAAGAAGGGGGCTTAGGAGACCATTACCCCATGAGAAGGGGCGTTTGCCCTGTTTTAACTCCTGCAGCTCTGGAGAGTCCTTGCACTTTCTTGGGTGCCAGAAAGGGTGATAAAAACAACTGTGGGGAAGCCATGGAATATTCAGATTATTTCTAACATGGGGCAGTCCAGCCTTCCAAATGCTGCATCCAGGTTCAGGATCCTTCCCTAGGTCCTGTCCTGGGGAAATGCAGGAGGAGATGCCCAGCGCTCTAGTGTCTCCTCCTGCTATTCTCTCCCCTTCCAGCTCTACAGTGAGGCCAAAATGGGCAAGGGCTGGGACAGTCCCACAAACCACTCTAGTTTGTATGACCACGGGTTACGTGCCGTAAGAACAAGGCATGTTTTAGGTGAGGAAGTGCTGTGGAAGGGAAGAGCATGCACTTGCTCTTTGCAGAACTCCTCAGCTGAACACCCAAGTTGCTGACTTGCAGTGCCTACCCTTCCAGACACATCCCTTGTGCCCTGCCCCAGCCACAGCCAGTGAGGCACCAAGTGCCTCACTGGCTTCAGAGGGAGACATGGATCCTCAGAGACCCACATTTGGCTTATTCAACACTTACAGGTTCCCCTAAATGGCGCAACACAGTGCACACTCAGTAACTTTTTAAAGGATGTACTGCAAGCTACAGTGGGATGCTTATAAATTGTGAACAAATAAATACGGCCTGATTAAAAGACCATGCACACAGTGAAAACCCTTCCCCTGTTCTCTTGTAGAGCCAATATGGAGAATCAAGAGGCAGCTACAGCTTGTCCATGAATAGGCAAGCTGGAAGCAGAATTTGTCTGTCACTGAGCACAACAGACAGTGCAGCCCTACAGCAGTGCCCAACAGTGACAGAACATGCAGCAAAAGCCAGGGCAGCATCAAGAAAATGCTCTTGCATCAGTTCAGACCATTCCTGTAAAGGAGCTTTCACAACAGCTGGTGGAAGAGCAATGTAAAGCCCAGCTCCTCCTTCCAAGCTCCTGGCAGCATCTACACAACTGCTTCACATCTTCTTCACGGAGGAAGAGACGAGGAGAGGAGGTGACCAAACCAGAGAGAAGAGGCAAGGCAAACACAAGTGGTGCCTCACTTCTCCTTCCAGTTTCAGGGACTAGAACATGGTCTTGCCCTTCCTGGATGATTTATTCAGACAAAACATCACCCAGGCAATTCTTTTATTTGCAAAAGCTGCCAACAGCAATCTCCTCGCAAGCAATCCAGCGTCACTCTTAGCACCTTCACATTTTGCAGTTGATCCTGGCTGACCATGGGGATTATTCCTAAGAAAGACAAGTAGCAGGAGGTTTCAGATGCTAATCCTGGGTGACAAGAGCTGCAAAGAATTCAGAGCAACAGACAAGATCAAAGTACTATCTTTCAGCTCTGCCACTGGTGTGCCACCTGGCCTCAGACAAATCACCCAGGCTTTCCATCCCTCTCTCTCACCCACAGCTGCCTTAAAACAAAACCAGCAACTACGGAAACACCAGAAAACCTTTTAAAACAAAGTTTTAACAGCCTTCTCCTTCTGCCTTGATCTTGAAAATAAAGCCAGCTTCAGGGGGCATGAAACTGCATAAATTTGGCATTTATGTGTCGTTGTTCGCAAACAACAGAACTCCTAGGTTGGTTTTGGGCATGAGGCGAGAAGGCATCCGCTGGGCAGCAGAGTGGAAACCCAGACATCAGGAATCTCTGCTCTTTCACTTGTGGGCTGTGTGACTGTGGGTAAGTTATTTAACACTTCCCTGCCTCAGTTTCCCCAGCTGTAGACCAGGGTTGCTGCTACTCTCCCACCGTGCAGTGCTACTGCCCATGAGCTGACCCCTCACATCTGCTGCTGCACTCATGCTGCCTAAGGTGGCTTTGTTTCCTTCCTAAAACCAGCTAAGCATCTTTTCCAGCACGAGGGAAAAACGAGCCTATGATACCCTGCCTTGACTTTGATTCTAGCACAGAAAATACAAGAGACATCTATATCTGTCCCTCCTTGATAGACAAACTTAATTAACCTTTGCTATTCTGTTCCAACCTATTCTTTTAGACAAAGGCAGTGACCCATAAACAATATGTTACCATCAGAATCTCAACTGCGGTGACACCTAGAGATATAGCCCTATCAGCAGTATCGGAAAATAAACCGCTTAGATTAGCTCCTCCAAGAAATATGGATTGCATTCATGTCACACATGAGCTGTCAGAAACATTAGGATACTTTTAGCATAAATCTGTAGTGTGAAGGGTATGTTATGAATACAGTATATAATACACATAAAACTGGAATTGTGTCGGGTGGCTTGCACAATGTGTATATATTTACACATAAACACACACACAGACACATGTATATTTCACACATTTTACACCTATTTCTGCACAGTTAGACTGCACATTTCTGTAAGAAGGCCAGGCTTATTGTAGGAAAAACTGTGCCAGAAACAGGTTGTAGAAGTTGAAAAGAGCAATTCTTTTTACTAGCAAGCAGCTATTCTTAAGAGTTCAAACTGCTAGCTGCCCTATCACAGTCACACTTTCCTGGATTTAGTAAAAGACAGTATGCTCACTACTTCTTAAGTAATCCTTAAAAACCAATTTCCTATCTCAGCAATGTTAAATATTACACTTCCAAAAGCTAAATGTAATTACCATATTAAAAATTAAGTTAAAATTTCTCAGTCTGACTCTCACTAATACTTACTTCAGGTTTTGCTCTAAACTGATTTAAGGAAAGAATAAAAAAGTTGAGGTTTTGGAAGTGAGAACATTGGTTTGCCAAGCTGGAAAAAAAAAGAAGAAAAAAAAAAAGGGAAAAAAACACCTGGGGACAGAATTTGTCCAAAACCTCCTGGCCAGCTTTAACCTTCCTCCAAAACAGGATACCTGGAGTCACCAGGGTAACAAAGAAAACTCAACCACTGGTCCCCAGATGCAGGGCACATTCTGCATTTTGCAGATTTTTAATGATACAGCTGTAGGAACGTGAAGAGTTCTAACATTTTTTGGGGAGGATGCCAACTCGCAAGGAATCCCGATTATCCTTCTGCTGTGGGTCTCAAGCCAGCAGTTTCACTGACGGCTTGGAGAATTAAACCTGATTAGAATCAGACGTGTCCATCTAGGTTGTACTTTTGTTGTGGTAGAAGAGACAGCATTTTCCAGTTGCTGTCCCTAAGTGGGTCACAATGAGACCAGTTTCAGAAGCACCAGCTTCCACTACATACCAACATGCTCCAACTTGAAGGACTAATGCTGTTGAATTCAGTTAACTGTTAATTGGATTGAATGCACATAAATTCCTGTTGTAATGACCAATTATGAGAGCTTCAAGGGAGAGTTCAGATGCTCACACAGAACTGGAGATGCAAGATGAGCAGCACATCTGCTACATTTCCTCTCTGACCTAAGCAACACCAGACACATCTGATTATCTGCCTTAGAGCTGGCAAAAGCAGCAGAATATAAACGACTGAAGGTGTCTGGACCAAAACTATCATTTTTATTATGCTTATCAAATCATGATGGATACAGCTTCTGGGATAACTGTATACAAATGAACAAAACCTACATAGAAATATCTAAAAAAAATTGCACCTCTATGAATCCACTCAAGTACGTGAGCCTCTGCAAAGAACAAAGACTAATGAAATCTGACATTAATCTACATTAAAGATTCAGTGATTCAGTTTATTTGCCAAGGCTCAATGATGCATTAATCCTCATCCCATCCCACACACACTCACATGTTTCCTCCCTAGCTTTTCTCCCTTGCTCCCTAAATTCTGAAACAGCAGACAGCTGGTCTGCTCAAGGCCTTGTCTGCATCCAGAAGTTATCTTTAAGTATGCAATTCTCCTTGCGTGGTTACAGTTGTTCCAGGACGAGCCAGCCTCCACCAGCAGTGCCCAGAAGAGGCAGGAGCCTTGTCTACACTGCTTAAATGAGGATTCCTTCCAGTGAGCACACAGGCGGCTTATACCAGCAAAAAAACCCCTCCTGTGGGCTCACAGCTTAGCCAGCTGCCCTGATTTGGTCACGGCAGGCATTGCACAGCTATCGTTTTGATAAAGAACCAGAAATCCAAAAACCTTGATCAAAACAGTTATAGCACTACCAGTCACATAAGCAGACTCACTTGTACTGGAAGACTGGTTAAGAAAGCCTGCGCATGCAAAAAAAATAAACCCAGCCAAATACAGGCAGTCCAACAAAAATCCCCATGTAGATACAGCTACATGTTTCCTCTGGAGAGAATCAGCCTGCATAGGTTTGCCAGCAAAACACCCTGAAGGTGTAAGCAAGGTCTGATTCCTCTTTGTGGATCACGTTTTGAAACTCTCCTGTAACTCCTTACCATGCTTGACAGAGGAATTCATCATCCATCTCTATTTAACACACCATGTTTCTGTGATCTTCCCTTGCTGGTAACCTTCCATGAACAGAATTGATGTTTAACTACCACGTGCAGCAGCTGAGAGCTCATTCCCCTCACAACAAACCGTCTTCAGTGCCACACAGTGTTTTACAGCCTCGGCATCACTGCACCCACTGCCATCAAGCATTATCTAGCCTAGCTCTCACTGTAAAACTTTTTATGATTATTTGTGCAATGTTATGCTGTCATAACAGTATGCAAACCCCATGATTCGTAACTATTCCAGCAATAACAATCCTTCTTGCAGATCAGCCTCTGAGAAGCAGCTTGTAAGTTACGTGACACTGACCTTGAACTATACTCTGTCCTACTGAACAGGAGAGGTGGTTTTAGGCCATTTAGAAGCTGGGGAGATGTCACTTCTGCAGGCAGAAAGCACTGCCCGTAGTCTCTCCACAGAGACATCTCACCAGAGCAGCACTGAGAAATCCCAAAAGGTTTGGCTGGGAGAAATTAAAAATCTTTGGTAAGGTAAATCACTAAAAATGGAGGTCAATGGAACCATGTGATACATGGCACAAGCTGGGAATGAAACCCAGCGCTTGGAGCCTGCTGGTGGAAGAAAAACATTCCTTTTTGACAGCTACCACCTCTTTTTTCCTTAATCACTTCAGCAGTATCTCACTAATTTGAGCAGCACTTAAGCAGAAGTTAGTTACAGATTCTGCAGGGCTTCAGGAGAAAAATCCATGGAAAACACACTACTGCTTTTATTTCTTTAAGGGGTGTCAAAGGTCCCACAAGAAACAATTTCACATGGAGACAACGGACCCTCTAGGCCAAGACTTCCTACACAAACACAGTCTAGTTTCAAATGACAGTACATGAGAACAGAAGAAAGGGGACACCACCACCACCCCAAGGTTTAACATGTTTTAGCATACCTTCATGTATCTCCTCCTCAAACACTATGCTCTATGATAGTCAGTACCTGTAATTTCCTTTTTCCCAAGCAAGTAAAACCACAGAAGTCTACTGGCTGGAGGAATGGTGGAGTGTGGGACTAGCAGCCTGCAAGAACCCTGCCTTTGGAAGACACATGTGGCTGTGACAAATTGTGTTCTGACAGTGTCTCCAAGCATCAGCTCTGCAACGGGCCCTTACAGCCTAGGTACTGCAAAAGCTTCAGGAGAAGTAACTTTCCATATGAAATACTCTGCTATGATGTGTCAGATTAACCTAATCAACTAAAATGAAAAAGCTAAACACTCTTGCGGTGTGGGACCACATAGCAGAGGGAAGGGAGACAGCTCTTTCCCATACAGCTCTACTCATGGTGAAAAAGGGACGTGGAATAGTACTAAATGCCCACTGCTGTAAAGCCATGCTATTAAAATTCACGGACTTGCCAGCTGTTGCTCCAGGAAGCCCCCACATTTTCATAAAAGGCCTTTCCATGAGAAAAGTGTCTAATGACAGGAAAGCCTCACTGAAGGGGATGTGGACTGCTACTGTAATTGTAATCACCCTGATCTTAGTTCCAGCTCCTTGGCACCAGAAGTTAAAATGCCCTCTCAGAGTTGGTCCCTGTGCCACAATTGCTAGAGCAATTCTCTGTCAGCAAAGAGGACATCTCATCTGCTCTCTTCAGAAAGGAAGTTTTGGTGGACATTTAATCTTTTGTTGTTGAGTGATTTCAAAACAGAGGTATTGCAGAAGGCAGCCTGCCCTCTCCTGATGCTCTACAGAAGAGGTTTGCCTTCTTCTGCCCTCGTACAAGGGACACGGGTGTACGCAGAGGGTGCAGCCTCCTGAGTTCAGTCTCAAGACAGAAAAGCACCACAGCAGCCCAAGACCAAGCATCCTCAGGGGCACTGAAATAGCTACACTCACTTTGCCATGAATCCCCTGCCTTGGCAGATTTCCCCGTTCTCCAGTCTCCGACTGGTACTGAGTTGGAAGCTGTAATTATCAAGTCCTAAAGTGAGAGGGCTCAGCTGTCTTTACCCCCTAATTAATCAAGTACTCAGAGCTCTGGTGTGAACCTCTTAGGCACAGCCTGGACCTTGAGCTACCCAAGTTGCAATCGCAAGCCCTGGAGCTGATGCTGCCAGAGTGCACCATTAGCAACACACTGTGTGACTGACTGCTATCAACCCTCTGCGCAGCACCACAGTCTCCTGGGTCACTTCAGCAGATGGAAGAGAAAAGAACACGTTCCTGAAAAGCAAAGCCTCTCAGAAATGACACCCAAAGCTCACAGGATACTATGTCTGGCAAGAGTCAGTTGGACCCTTTTTCTGGAAAACAGCGCATAATGTACTATGACATAAATCAGGAAATAAAATCAAGTGGGCACTCTTTATCTGTGCTTGTGGCAACCTACCTATTCCTGTATCATTGCCTTCCACGTGCTGCATGATAACCACCCACTTTGGCTAACCTTCCTAACATGGGTCCTAGTCCCACTCTGGAATCTGGTTCAGCAAACAGGAGGTCAGAATCAAGCCCAAGAAACAACTTATTATTGTAACATAACATAGTTCCTTGTGACACCTCTGTAACATCATACCTGCCACTGTTTTCCCGACTGGCTTGGCATGTACGCTCCTGGGAGGCTTCGAAGGCTGTTCTTCATGGCCGACCCTACAACTGTACCCCCCGTCTCACTTGAGGAAGCCTCGCTGGCCACTGCCATTTGGTACTGGGAGTAGTTGTACAGGTTGTTATAGTAAGGATACAGGGACGGCTGGTAAAAACTGCTGTAGTAGGTGGAGTCCACAACCAAATCAGACGTGCTCTCCAAGTGCCCTCTGCTGGGGATGGAAGGGATGTCCTGAAGGAGCATGCGTCCCTCTGGAAAAGAAAAAACCAAGCCATTATGAGATGGGAGGCTCCATGAAGACCATTACCTTTTGCCTTCTGATGAGCTACTACTTCTTCTGACGGCTGGATGGAGTAGTAAATAGGAAGAGGTGGGAAATGGAAGGGAAAGACAGCTGGATGTTTGGTGGAAACTCAAGTGGACTGATGTCCACTCAAAGCCTGAGACTGCCACCTACACACACCACAAACTGCAAAGCAGGAGACAAAACCAATGGCAGGTTAAGACAATGCTCTGAGTCTTCAAGCAGCATCAGCTGATCCCATGGTGATTTACACCAGCAAAGGATGCAGCACCCCATTATTTTTAAATTACAACAGTGTGCCAAGTCTGCTTTAACTCCCTGGAAGCAGAAAGGCTGTAGCTAAAGGATGACCCCTCTCCAGCCAGTGTCCTGCAGGTGAGAGGCCACTTTGTGACTGTGCCTCTAGAAAGGGCCAACAGGCCCAAGGCCAAGAGAAGCTGCAACAGGGAAAGCACTGCGCAATCAGCCAAGGTGTCTCAGAAACCCACATGCTACCTCTGAGCAGCAAGGCCTTCCCTCAACCCTTGCCCAGCCTCCATACCCAAACTTAGCTCCTGTTTACCAAAAAAAACCACAGAGCAGAAAAAGCTCCCACACCACTGGAAAAAAGAGGAGGAGGAGATGATGTTGTCCAACTCCACCGTGGAAGAGAAAAGGATGTGGCTTGGAGCACACTGATGAGCTCTCAAGGGCTTATCAGTATGGAGATGAGACATCATGGACAGTACGCATGTATGAAATACCAGCCCTAAGAGAGGTGTCAGGCAGGCATTGCCTAGTTCGTTTTGCATCCTTCTGTTGGTACATCTGCACCTTGGTTACTCACCTGCAAAATCAATATGGTGGCAATTTACCAGCCTCTCAGAGTCATGGTAAAAATTTCCACTGTACTATGTATTAGCTGCACACTAGGTCCAATGATCAGTTTTACCAACTATTGCCATTTACAATGCAATTCTCCTTCACTTCACCTGTAAGGAAAGCTCTCTGCAATCCTAGACAGTCTCCTTCTAAGTCACTAAATTATACAGTGCCCCCATTCAGCTCTTGCTGACATTTTGTTGACATCAGTGAAGTGTACCCATGTATGAACAAACAGTGCTCTAGGCCTCCTGCATCTGATTTTTCTGCCTCTCAGCCCTATGTGAGCAAGAATCAAGCCAGACGGCCTTTTTCATTGGGATTATCGCTCCAATTTGCAGAGAGGAGTCTGCAATACCACAAAAGACCCCCCACAGTTTCTGCACTTTCATGGTTTTATGAAATTTTATTATTGCTACTGCTTCTGGGCAGGACTCTCTTCAAGTCCTTTAGTTTGTGCCTTTGATAAAATAAGAACTTAGGCCACTGGCACTGAGAAGCCAACAATTCTGATGAATCACAGCAGAAGCCTAACTCCCCTCCCCAAACTTAGCTCCCAAATAAAGCTGAGGTCAAACTGCTCTGCTTTTCATGCTGTGAGACAGAAAGGTGAAAGTAAAATCCCCTAACTAATTCCCTGCTGGGACACAGGTATCACATGAGACAGAGATATGCAAAGCAGCTGGCTGCAGAACTTCTGGCAGGGCTATGCTACGCTGCACAGATGTCCAATTTCTTCTGAAACCTCTGCAGTGTCATTCCACTTGCAGTGCATTTTAAGAAGAGATAATAGTTTCTGCTGAGGATACCAGCACCAGGAAGATGGGGCCTCTCTACACCGACACACAAAAGGTGAGCCACCCTGAAAAGGAGCTGAAAAGGAAGAGGGGGAGAAAGCAGCAGGCCTTGCTGCAACTTTTGGAAAGGTCTCATGCCCTACGCTTCTGAACAGGGGACAAGATGGGCTAGGCTAGAACAGAGACCTGCCCATAGCTATCCACAAGCTCACACCATCACCAGTCCGTGATGGTCAGTCCTTCCTGAAGAAAGAGCAGCACCGGTAGTCTTCTGCTGCATTAAGAGAAAAAAACAATGGTTCTCCCCTGTTCTTTTCTCCTCCTGTCTGTGGTTGGGGCTACCATCATCTGCCTCCCACCGGAGGTGCAAGAGGGTTGACTTGGTGCCATCCATTTTTCCTTTATCTATCTGCACAATAGCCACCAGCAGTTCAGTGTTCAGGGTCATTATGGATGCACCAGAATGGACCTCCACTTTCCTCCTCCTGTCCCTCCATTCTCCAGTACCCTCTACAGTACTACCAGCTGCTCTCTCAGGACTCAATATTGAGTTTATAGAGCTGGTCACCTGCTCATTCAGCCACCCGTACACATAAATCCCCAAGCATCAGCAGCCTGGGGCATTTTTCTCTTACAAATGCAGAATTATGGAACCCATGGTCCTCATAACATCTTTGGCACACAACCCCCCTTCTGAGCTCCGGCCACAGGACAGGGATGTGCCACAGCAGCTTAGCAGAAAAAAACAGAGTCACGGGAAAGGGGAAAGTTCAAGTGAAGGGACTGACATACACCAAAGATTTGGTGCTTTATCTGGGAGAAAGGAGACATCTCATATAAGCCTTGTGCCACCCGGACTGTGGGCAGATGTCAGGTCAGACCAGGTCAAAGTACCCCAGGGGTTATTCTAAACTTCTCACAGACTTGAACCAGCCAGCCTGAGGGAAGGATGCCTCTGGAGAGCTGGGTTCTGGCAGGTCCAGAACCCGGACCTGCAGCATGCAACAGGCCAAGGGCAGGCCTGCAGTCCAGCTCTACGCCCTTATCCCATCCAGCCTGGCTGAATCACATCATCTACTACTACTAATGCATACACCATACATATATATCAACATGTATAGAGCATACACAACTGTAAATACATTAAAGGGAAAGAGTTATGCTCTATAATGGAGAAAGCCCTGAAAGTCTTGACTCCTTTTCTGAGCAATGAAAGCTCAGGAAGAGAAGCAGGTCAGACCAGCCAGCACCTACACAAGGGTACCTTCAAAGAACTGCTAAGAACCCAGGGGAGCAGAATTAAAGGCCAAAGAACTCTGCTACACTGTCCTTGGGATAAAATAAGGCACTTGGAAATCTGCCCAGAGAAGATTTCATGGCTTTGCCCTACCCATGCTGGTTGTCTCCAGCTGAAGTCTGCTAGCTAGCTGGCGAGCAGCACACTGCTTCTGGGCTGCAGCATCCTCAGGCATGGCCACTGTTCGCAGAACAGGGCAGACCTATTGGAACAATGGCTGTAACTAAACTTTGAACTAACTGGGGTTCCTCTTGTTGATCTTTGGCCTATACCTCTAATTCCTGACTCCTACCTACAGCTGAACCTTCCTACAGCCTTGCCTCTGGTCACCCAACAAGCAAGGCATCCTTCTTAAGAGAGGCTGCCAGCCCATGGCTGCGTTTTCCACCAGCAAGGAGAGGACACCCAGGTTAAGAAAGCAGCAGCTATCCACAAGCTCACACCATCACCAGTCCGTGATGGTCAGTCCTTCCTGAAGAAAGAGCAGCACCGGTAGTCTTCTGCTGCATTAAGAGAAAAAAACAATGGTTCTCCCCTGTTCTTTTCTCCTCCTGTCTGTGGTTGGGGCTACCATCATCTGCCTCCCACCGGAGGTGCAAGAGGGTTGACTTGGTGCCATCCATTTTTCCTTTATCTATCTGCACAATAGCCACCAGCAGTTCAGTGTTCAGGGTCATTATGGATGCACCAGAATGGACCTCCACTTTCCTCCTCCTGTCCCTCCATTCTCCAGTACCCTCTACAGTACTACCAGCTGCTCTCTCAGGACTCAATATTGAGTTTATAGAGCTGGTCACCTGCTCATTCAGCCACCCGTACACATAAATCCCCAAGCATCAGCAGCCTGGGGCATTTTTCTCTTACAAATGCAGAATTATGGAACCCATGGTCCTCATAACATCTTTGGCACACAACCCCCCTTCTGAGCTCCGGCCACAGGACAGGGATGTGCCACAGCAGCTTAGCAGAAAAAAACAGAGTCACGGGAAAGGGGAAAGTTCAAGTGAAGGGACTGACATACACCAAAGATTTGGTGCTTTATCTGGGAGAAAGGAGACATCTCATATAAGCCTTGTGCCACCCGGACTGTGGGCAGATGTCAGGTCAGACCAGGTCAAAGTACCCCAGGGGTTATTCTAAACTTCTCACAGACTTGAACCAGCCAGCCTGAGGGAAGGATGCCTCTGGAGAGCTGGGTTCTGGCAGGTCCAGAACCCGGACCTGCAGCATGCAACAGGCCAAGGGCAGGCCTGCAGTCCAGCTCTACGCCCTTATCCCATCCAGCCTGGCTGAATCACATCATCTACTACTACTAATGCATACACCATACATATATATCAACATGTATAGAGCATACACAACTGTAAATACATTAAAGGGAAAGAGTTATGCTCTATAATGGAGAAAGCCCTGAAAGTCTTGACTCCTTTTCTGAGCAATGAAAGCTCAGGAAGAGAAGCAGGTCAGACCAGCCAGCACCTACACAAGGGTACCTTCAAAGAACTGCTAAGAACCCAGGGGAGCAGAATTAAAGGCCAAAGAACTCTGCTACACTGTCCTTGGGATAAAATAAGGCACTTGGAAATCTGCCCAGAGAAGATTTCATGGCTTTGCCCTACCCATGCTGGTTGTCTCCAGCTGAAGTCTGCTAGCTAGCTGGCGAGCAGCACACTGCTTCTGGGCTGCAGCATCCTCAGGCATGGCCACTGTTCGCAGAACAGGGCAGACCTATTGGAACAATGGCTGTAACTAAACTTTGAACTAACTGGGGTTCCTCTTGTTGATCTTTGGCCTATACCTCTAATTCCTGACTCCTACCTACAGCTGAACCTTCCTACAGCCTTGCCTCTGGTCACCCAACAAGCAAGGCATCCTTCTTAAGAGAGGCTGCCAGCCCATGGCTGCGTTTTCCACCAGCAAGGAGAGGACACCCAGGTTAAGAAAGCAGCTTTCAGCTGTTTGGTATTTTTTTTTTTTTCCAAATGTAATTCA